TCTAGCTGGGAAAAAATGCAACCTAAAGGTATCATAGGCCACAGTCCTGCTGCAACGTGCATCTGATCTGCCAATCATCCAGGTAAGCAGTGGTTGTGAACTCCTGTCTTCTTAAAAAGGGCGTTTCCTCTTGCAAGCAAAGACAATTTTTTTGCAACAATTTAGTTGGTCTAATAAAAGATATCACCTCTACCATGAATTCTGATTCCTTCCTCCTCTTGTCAGGCATTTTATGAACACTCTCAGTCCTATGAAGAATCTTGTATTAATAATAGTTAAGTCTCAACTGAAAATCTTATGTACTTGCTCTGGGTTTGGCAAATGGCAGTGTGAAAGCAAACATCCTGCAAGTAGGGAGCTTTGAACCATTGACGAACCCATCATTTGACCGTCAGCACCAGGTCCCACGGATCAGGCTGGGAGTAGCCCTGCAGTGGCAAGATTGGAATCTGGAGAATTTTATGCCCCATCCTAAATATCACACATTTTGTCATTTATGCACATTCAACATGACAGGGTGCATAATTTTTGGGACAGGTCATACATTTCCTCAGATCCTAACCACACCATTATTTTAATGTCTGCCAGGGGCCTAACTGGTTTGCCAGACTTTAGAAAAGAAAGTCTGAAGCTGGCCCAGGAACTGAATTCACATAAGCTAAGGAGCTGTCCACTTGCTTTGTTCTCGGGTAGTTGTATTTTAATGTAAAACCAAATCTGTCTTTTTAAATATGAAGTTTTACCCTTTTTTCAAGGAAATATTTTGAAGGCCCAGCAGTTTCAACTGGGAAAAATGCACACAAAGTTTGATGTTCCTAAGTCTCTGGTCTCTTTCAAATGTTGTTTTCTGGGTCAACAGATATCTTCTGAATGATGTGAACTTTGCTCATGCACAATGTAAGAGACCTCAGAAAGGATTTATATTTTAACTTCAGAAGTAGACAATAGGCCACTTCTGATATTCCAGTCTACAGATGTATAGGATAAAAAGTTGGACACTAATAGTTTAGGCAAATTGATATCCTGCAATTTTAAAAATGTCTGCACTCTCTATTTTTAAAAGGAAGTAAGTTCTGCACTAATTTCCCAATAATTCTTCATAATAGAATACACAATAGAAAAAACATCACATTAGATAATTAAGTATCTCAGCACTCTTGTAAGATAGATAACTCAATGCCATTTTTACAGAAGGATAAGCTGCAGCACAGACATAGACAGACATAGACACAGTTAAGTGCCCTACATGGACTTTTAATGAGTTAGTAGCAGAGATTTCTGTTCATCTCCTTTCTGTTACAGGTCTGAATATATTATCCCTAGCTATCTGAAAGCCTTGTGTTTAAAACTGACTGTATTAGCATTAGATGCAATGAATTTCTTTGCATCCAGAGGAAAATTCATAGTTGACTATACAAGTCTCACGATTTGTTGTTTTTTGTCAAGGATTGATGAGTAGTTTGGAAAATACTGGCTTGTCAATCCAAGAGCTCCATTACAGATGTGGATGGTCTATTGTTATCATGTTAGAATTTTCAATGAGAGTTTTGTTCCAAGTGTTTAGTACCCTAAGAGACCATAAATACTGAAAGCTTTTTAGTACAGTGGAAAAATGAAAAGGTTTTTGTAGCTGCTCCACAGTGGAGACACTAGAGAGTATGACATGTAAGCAGGGGCAAGGGTTACAGTAATATGATTACAATTATTTGCATGCTACAAATATTGAAAAAAGAAAGAATAATTTAGGATGGTTCAAGGAGGGAGGGATTATCATTGAGTAATGAGGTGAGCAAGAGAAAGAGTATTAGATTATGGCAAAGTGTCTCAAAGGAAATGATGAAATTCTGACAGCTTGTGTTATTTAAAATTAGATGTAGGGAACATCAACTATTGTAGGGAACATCAACATCCTGATTGGGGAGATGATCTATATGAGAAGTTCTCAATCTTTGTAGAGTCAAGGCACTCCTCTAACTTTTTGGAATTTAATAGCACCCATTTAAAGATTAATTTATTTCTTAAACTGCTTACCTTTTCACTCCTTGTGGCACTCTTAAAACGATCTCATAGGGTGGCAAGGTGGACAGGGCACCCATGGTGGTGGGGGAGCATGCAGTGTTCAGTGCTGGCAGGGGCTGCTCAGCAAGTCAGACTAGGGGTATGGAGTGGGTCATTAGACCCCTGAAGGAGGCAGCTATCCCTATGGAAGGTGGAAGGGGGTGACAGTGGCCTTTGGTGCAGAGGCTGGTACCAGATGAAGGCAGCAGGGGAAGGACCCTGACATGCCCTGATCTTTCTGATATCCGTCCCCTCCCTGTCCTCATCTCTGCCTAAGAAGATAAGCATGGCCATTCCCATATACCATTCCCCACAGCCTCTCCCATCAGTTCCAGGAGCATGAGAGGAGCTGGACTGAAAAAATGCAGCTCTGTGCCCCGCTGACCATCCACTTACACACCTGTGGCAGAGCCACACAGCACAGGGATGGTTGACACAGGGGCTGCTGGTGGACAGGAGCTATAATTTTCAGCCCAGTTCCTTCTCTCACTCCTCCCATGCTCTTGGAACTGATGTAAGGGGTTATGGAGAGCACTGCCAGGATGCTGGGGTGGGTTCAGGGTGCTCGGCATGGGGAAGTGCCAGTGCTTACCTCTTCCCACAGGGGCCTGGTGCTCCATCACCCTTCAAAGGAGCTTGTGACACCTCCGTTGAGAATCACTATTCTAGAGAATCTGAAAATTCTTTTCGTCCTATTTATGATTCGGTGAGTCTGCCACAGCAGACTAAGGCTGTCATGCTGAGGCTGTCATGTGAACTGAAACTGAAAATGCTTTGGAAGAAAATTAAGAACTTACACGTGTCCAAAAACAATGGCACCCTTTAGAATGAGAAAGTATGTCAGGCTCTCATAAAACAAATATCACTCCTACCAATGCTAAAGAGTGCTCTAAGTATGCATGCAGAGAGATACATCACTAAATGACCATGTAATTTTAGTACGCAGTGTTGAACTGTATGTATAGAGCAGACGGATGCCACAAGATTATCTGAGAAACACAAATGGAAGAGTACAGGCCAAAACAGCAGTCACTTGAGCAAAGGAACAGCTAAGCATTGTTGAGTGAAGGCTATTGGATATCCTTGAGCTGGGAAAAAGTAAAATAAAATAGATGTATGTAACATTTAAACATGTGAATCTAGATAGATTTCCTCTTGTCTTCTTTTTGTTTGTCCCTGAATATCCTATATTCCTACAAAATTCCTTTTTATTTTTAGAAAGAATAATACAATGTAATTGAGCTCAGTGAATAAGAGGTCTGATTTTGGTTTTGAACATTATACATTTAAATAGCTCTGAGGTATGTTTTCATTAAAAATCCTTGCTGGTTACATACAGTTTTCTTTCAGTCTGACTTGGCTGACAACATTCATGACCTTTCCAGTACCATCTCAACAGCAGCAATGGTACCTCTTCAAAAATATTTGCATAGAAAAAAAAGCCAGCACAGAATGGGAGGAGAGATAAAATGATTTGTTATACAACTATCTGCAAAAATGTTATCCATGGCCAAGTGAAACAATATACAATCATGGCTGACTTGACTTCCTCCAGAGTTCCCATGTACTGGTTTATGAAGGCTTTAATATGTTAATTCACAACTGAGGTTTGGTTATTTCAGACACTACACTAGACATTTCAGACATTACAATAATACCCTTTAAGAAAACCCTGATTTTTGCATATAATGACTGACCTCTTTTTCCCTCCACCTTGATTTCATTTACACAAATTAAATTATTTTGAACAACTCTGAAACAACCATCTTAATTTATTCAGACTGAGGGCTGGCATAGAATCTATTACACTTAACAGCTGTTTGAGAGAACTAGAGATACAAAGGGTTTGAAAAAAAAACTCATTGCTGCTGCTGTGGAAGTGATGTCTTGAGAGAATATGGACTTGCCTGCACATGGATTTGAAGTATGTACATCTATGTAACAAAATACATCGCTTCTAATATGTCCATAGTTCCCAACATGTATTGAGTGGTAATATTTAAAAAAGCTTTGTCCGAAAATGTCTAATAAAGTTATACTGATGTCACAATAGCAAACTAACCAGGTCTCCTTAAAAAGACAATGTTTATTCATTTATGTTTTGACCAAATAAAGGCTTTGATTATTCAGACAGTATGAAACAAGATAAAAGGGAAAAAAGTTTAAGAAACAAACAAAACAAAAAAAGATTAGTGTACAATACAGAAACCCCACAAAAGTAACTGATCTATAAAAAATATTTGGATGCAGTTTGTTTTCACAAATTCAACATTACAATGGGCCAAAAAAGCAAAAAATATTTTAAAATCACTAACTCCCTGTAAGAGCTTTCTCATTCCTTCAACAGATGAAATTCATACTTTTTCCTTAGTGTATTAGAAATAGGCAGGATGCATTATAAACATAATGTGACAGGTAAATGAAAGCATTATTAGCAAGGTCACTTGAATTGCATTTTCCATGTGTTAGACCTAAGTGCTTGCACTTTGAGAATAGTTTCTCTCCCCATAACATTGCATATAAATTCCATTAAGTTCGTTTCACTCCAGGGAAGTTCATAATGCAGGAGAAGTGATACAATTCCTCACAGCCACTGCTTTTCCCAGACTTGCTCTTCCTTAAAACAGTGAGCAAGGCACATGATTCCTTTCAACATTTTTCCAAAGCTACAAGCCAGACCCAATGGCTCCGATTCTTTCGTGGTTTAACAGTTTTATTTGAAAAGACAATTTTACTCTTAAGAAGGAACATGATTTTCTAAACCCAGAATGTAATGAAACACCCAGGAAAAAAATGTAGGTCCAACCTGACATGTTGGAGATTTTCTCAAGGGAACTGGGGTTTTCTGATGCAACATGCAAATAAAAAATGCACTAGCAGCCCTACCCCATAACTATCCTATATCAAGGGCATCTGCCATGACATTGGAGTTGGGTACTTACCACTGGATGATCTCAGTAATCTGGGCTTCCCAATGTGCCACAGATTCCTTTTTGTCTGCCAGGTCTCTCATCTCTTCCTCCAGCTGTCGGTTGTTCATACTTAGCCTCTCAAACATGGTGGTGAGCTGAAAGATAATGTCAAAAAGCCTCTTTAGTCTATAAACAGCTGTGACTTGACTCTTGTGCTGGCCTAAACTGATCAAGGAGTTTTATTTCTCTGTGCTCTACCTTTTAGTACCTCCTTTAAAAACCCATATCAATCACAATGAGTTCTTTGTGACATTTGCTTCTATGTCTAGACTTAGCTGTGTTGAAAGGTCCTTTGTAAGGACCAAAACTGCATTTCTGCTTCAGAAAACAAATCAGAATTGGAGTTACTAGCAGAATGACACTCTTGCAATATTTTTGACAAGCCTTAGGACTTCTCTTTTATGTACAGATGTGGACGTACATTGCTTGCAGAAGCATAAGATGAAAGGGCTTGAGCAAAACAAGGAATACAAGACACCTTGATCTTCTGTTCCAGCTCTGCTGTGTAGCTATGAGATTTTCTGCTCGTTCGGCAGGAGTCAGGCCTAAGAAAGGATTGCATAGCTTTGTCTCCCCAGACACTTTAATTCTCCACCTATGCCCAATTCTACTTCATCTTCTTGCATATTTGAAACATATTACATCTATACCTAGCAGTTCACCCACCCATGCCAAACTTGTATTGGCAACATTGAATGCAGCCCACTGTGTTCAGCAGCCTAGTGGGTAGACAACTTACTCAGAAAGTGGGCCCTAAGTCCTCCACAGTCTGAGGTGATTTGAACCCTTCAATGTCTTAACCACCAGGCTACAGACCAGGCTAGATAAAGGTACTTACCACCCTTCCCTGTTGAAGGTGGATCACTGGGCAGATGAGAATACAAGAGTCATGGCATCAGAAGGGCAAGCAAGAGGGAGCTGGACTCTTGTAGCCTAGTGATTGGGTGGGGGAGGGATCAGATTCCTTGGTTCCAGTCCCTGGTCCTATAACTGTTTGTGCATTTTATGATCCTTGGTTAAATAAAAAACAATCACTCTAGTGGCAGAGACTGGAAGCCGGGGTTTCTTTCCCCTCCCAGGGGGAGAATGTTTCCATGCTAGTCTGCATAGGCATGCTCCCTCTGTTGCTTGTCCATCCCAAGGACTGTTGCTTTCTTGGCTGCCCAGTGGCCCAGCTTCAACAGGAAAAGTGACACATGCCCTTGCTTAACATATTCCAGGTGTGCCTTCTCCTATTCTGTGTTAAGTGGAAGCTAACCTGAGGCATTTTGTCCCCATTTCATTCACAATGCGTTATTCAGGAAGCAGCTACTCTGATTTTACTTGCTTTTACTTGCCATTAGGTAGGGGCAGACACATGAATCAGTTACTATGGAAGGAACAGCCCTCCATTCCTATTAACTCAGTAGAGTTTTTCTGTCCAAAGCATGAAATTATGGGGTTTAATAAATAAGAGGTGCCCCATCTGCAGACAAGAATATAGGGTCATAGTAGAGATGGATACTGTGGATCCAATCTATATTATCTCCAACACAGGATATACTGAAAGTTGAACTGATAACCAAGCCACTCACATAAGCAATACTCACCTTATCTAGCTCATTTGAGAGCTTTTTGTTTTCCTCCATTAATAGAATTTTCTCGCGTTCATACTTCTGTTTGAATTCTGCTTCAAACTCCTCTCTTTCACTTTGGCTAAGGTGTAATGAAAATACAGTAAGTTTCACATTATCCTACCACATTATTTCCTTAAATCTAATTATGGTTGCAGTGTGTAACTATGTAGGGACTGTGAAGCATACAAAAAAGGTGAAAGTATTATATAAGAAACCTACTAAACTGTGAACGTGATTATCTGCTTAATCTTAGGACTCTGAAACAGTGTGTTCAATGTTATTAGTATAGATATTAACCTTCTTTTGCTGCAGGATTAATACAGCTAACATTTATCAACTTCTTAGAAGTACTTCATTCTTTAGGGCAATCTTCCAAACTCATCGGCAGTTTTTATTTTGCAAAATAAAACATACCAGTCTATTATGATTTCAAGGCATTGTCACAGAATCGAAGACACTCACAGGTAAGGGAAAGCCCTTTCATATATATACATTGTTTTGTTAAGATGACATTTTACTTTTCACACATCTCTGCACTTCTAGCTCCTAGGCAGGATTACAGACAGAATTGTCAGATGCAAGACCTGGACATATTAGCATCTCATGTGTGAAACACACATTGGTCTAGCAAGATTGATCCCATGAAGAGAAAAGCTGCTGCCTAAACTATTCCCAGGCTAATTTAACAATCCTAAAAGGATGTTTATTTGAACTGTGAACCCATTTGAGGTTCATCTATCAGTATCAATAAGAAGTGGACAGATAAGCTGACATCTTGGGATACAACATGATTGAACTGTAGGCTCTGACACAGGCAGATTCTGAAATCTGTTGTTTTTTCTTCTGTGGAAAGCCTCCAGGCTGGCTGTTGTTCTGAACTCTTCGCTACTCAGGTGGATCTCATTTAGCAGGGAGACAACACATGTAATACACTGTCAAATCAATCAACATTATCTTACTCAAGGAACCTTATGAACTTGCGGATGAATGAAGCTGTAAGACACTCTCTCCCTGTTAAAGGAAATATGATTTTCTCAATCCTCAAGATCAGAAAAAAGGTAGTATAGCACAGAAGAGCCATAAACCCCCTGAAATCCATCCCATTTACTTGCAGAGACTCGTGAAGATTATTTTATGGCATTTCAGTTTCATAGTAATGGCTGGTAACTAGGATATAGTTTGCTAATAGGTTGATGAGATGGTGCCAGGTAGACACTAGGTAAAATTATCATGGCCCATCTATTATGACACTGAAGACAGTGCTCAGTAAAATGCAAGAAAAAAATAAAAAACATTGGAAACTGTCTTGAAGTTTAAATTGCAACCAGATCAATATTTCAGATTATGGGATGGAGAATTGTGTCTTCATCTAACTCTGTCTTTGAGATGGAACTTGGCAGAGTTATAAAAATCTGCAAGAACATCCTTAAAAACTGAGAAGCCATCAGTGGTTACACTGAACCCGTTTTAGAATATTCCTGGTTTGAATTTCCTATTTCTAATTTGAAATTCATTTAGTGTTGCAACCAGACTTTGAAATATAGTACAGCATATTAGGCTCATCACTGAAATTGTTTGTTGCTAGGCATCCTTTGAAACATAACACTTCACTCCAGCAATGTAACATATTATTGGTACTGTATGACTTCCATTCTGAAATCCATCACCACCCTCTCCCAGACCTTGAGAGTCCATGCATATGATGAGCAGACTGGGGAATAAGCAGAAAAAAATTAAAGGAAACAGGTCTTGCTGCCATGACCAAGACATGGATGGGTTCAAGGCTAATTTCTCAGACAATAGATCACCTTTTTTTCCTTTTAGCACTTGGTTAATATTTTTGTTCAGCATTGTGCATTTAAAATGTATTTTGTTTTGGCTGCTTTAGACTTTTCTAAAATGTGCTCTTTCTAGGCTTGCTCACAGTCACAGTTGGTGAATTCATATAAACTTTTGTTAGTTCGGTGTGTGCAACTGATGTTTTTTGGGCTTTTTGTAAGCAAAGTCATTAATTGCAGTGGCAGTAGTCATCACACCAGTGAATCAAACTGGTAAGGGAAGCAAAGGGGAAGATAGAGAAGCTGAAGAAAGGAAAATGTGGCCTCAAAAATAAGGAGTGAGTGCAGAGATCTACCAACTGTCCTCAAGTATCTCATCTAGCCTGAAATGCCTGGCTTAGAAAAGTGACAGATTCCAGTGGCATATCTTGGGCAGGCAAGAAGAACAAAATGCCACAGGCTCTCTCTCAGCTATTTCATGTCCTTTTCTAAAACTTAGTTACATATTTGTTCATGAACTTTAGGAAATATGTATGTGCCCTAGATTGTCTTTCGTTCTTAAAATAACTGAGCAAGCCATAATAAAACAATGTGGAGTACACTCTTATAATGTCATGTTTCTACTTCTGTATTGTGACTGTGGGCGGAGGGCACAAATTATTTTATCATGCTATTTTGAAGCCATGGGAAGGGGCCTTGAAGCAAAATTCAAACCTCAAACATTTGACTTATTCACACCACACCCTTTAACAAGACAGACTTACAAAAACTCCCAGCTCAGTAAACCAACCACTAACTGACAGGTTCAAAAGAAGCTTCTCCTACAAACAGGATATTCCATGATTATCCCATCTTGTACTTGTCTCTCAAGCATGTGATCCTGACAAAGATCAGAGACAGATTACCACAGTAGTTGGATTACTGGTCTGATCCTGTATTCACATTCTTATGTTCTAGCAGCATGAGGCATTTGTTTCATGCCCTGGTAAATTACAAGGTCTCAGACTTTAACACAGAATCATTATTATGTAGGCAAAGGTAGTGTTTCTCTCTCCCTGCAAGGCACATACAGTTGGACTATCAATACTAAGAATGACTCATATTAGAGGCAGAGAAATATTAATGATCATATCAATTTAACAAAAAAAATCTCTCTAGAGCAATTCTAATGCAGGTTTAAAAAAAAAAAAAGAGTAGCGCATGCAGAATAGTGTGGCACAAAGTTCTTGTTAAACTTTTTTTGGAATTGACCTAGGTAATCACTTGTGGCTGTACTACTCATAAATAATACATCTGACAAAACCTTTCTGCCCCAGCACAGCCTTTATTTACAAACACAAACACACACACACACACATGCGCACACCCATGAGTCTAAACAGCAGCAAGGTAAGAAGAAAAATGCAATAAAGTTCCATAAGCTAAAATAATTTTCTTTGATGGAAGACAACCAATTACTAACAGGCACATCATAGCTTTATTTCTTCATTCCGTAATATTTAAGCATCACTCATAAAACCCTGAGCAATTGCAGATCCAAATTAGCTCATAATTTTTTTCCTCACTTACTTATGTCTGAATCCTGCTCTAGGATCTTCATGGAGTTCCAATGACCACAGCAGGACTCTGCACATGCCGATTCTATAGGCATGCCTTCCTGTCCTATGCCCACAAGCCTATACAACCATCACTTGGTACATGAACAGACATTTATGAAGAACTTAATTCCTACTCCTAATCTGAAATAAATTTAATGTTGCAACCAGACTCTGAAATATAGTACAGCATATTAGGCTCCTCACTAAAATCATTTGTTGCTAGGCATCCTTTGAAACATAACATTTGGCAGTAAGATGTGCCAAAGCTCCTGCTGGGACTTAAAGCTGGAGGTTCCTGGCTAAAGGGTCTTGCCTCTCTGCTCAGGGTCAGACTGATCACCATATCAATTAAAAAAAAAATCTCTCTAGAGTAATACTAATGCAGGTTTTTAAAAAAAAATGAGTGGCTCATGCAGGATAGTGTGCACACCGAAGGAATTTCTGACCCCATGGTCAGACTGTTATAGACTGCAGGGGTTTTTGCCTTCCTCTGTGTGGGGGGCATGAACCTCTACCTGGGATCTCTTAAGTGTATTAACAACCTTTTATAGAAGCAGGACACTGGCTGCTGTGGTTCCCCTGCTTTAACTGTGGCAGGTTAGGGTGTTATGTCTTATGTTGTTGTCAGGGTTGACAGTAGTCTTACAAAGAGTTTAGATTATGGCTTTGTATAGGATGATTCGGATAGGGATGATCCTGCCTTGGGCAGGGGGTTGGACTAGATGGCCACTGGAGGTCCTTTCCAGCCCTGCTTCTCTAAGGATACTAATCTTATTGTACCCTGGAGGCATGATCTTGCATTATACTGACCCTTTCCTGAGAGGTGCTAAGTGTGTCTTCCACTCCTAGCAAGAGGATCAGACCCTACATTTTGGCTATACGATACATTTTAGTTCAGGATCTGTCTTAGTTAAAACATTTGAAATAAAGGTGATCACTACACACACAAAAATGCACATCTGCTTTACCATTCCATTTATACTCAGTTCCTTTTCACTTTTCCTTGGAGAGATCAAAAAGATCATGCTGGAACTAGATTTTTGAAAAGAGCAGACAAGAGGTAGGGTTGCCTTATGAAATAATCTTGTTATTGCTTTAGAATAGGAAATGTAGTCACTTTGTGATTTTTGAAACTGTATAACTTGGAGCTGTAATCTGATAAGATCACACAAACTCAGCAGTGTCAGGGCTGGTCAGTGTTTGGATGAGAGAATTCCAAGAAAATTTTTGTGCTGCAGGAAGTGGTGTTAGTGATTCATTAAAAGCCCTTCTTCCTTCTGAGTCAGCCCTGAACTAATATATCAGCATGTATTGTGCTAGGTCAGTCACATTTATAATCCTGACTATTTGAATTATTAAAGATGTGTCCTATTTGCATTTGTAAGGTTTCTAGCCTCAACATTCTGGCTAATCTTTTTCTTGTGGCATATTGATAACGTGCTGATTATGTAAGTTTTACCTAGAACTTCAACTGAATGTTAATCTTTACTTCCTGTCCTAAAAAAAAGTTATGACATTGCCACAGAATGAGCTGTTGTATGTCCATCCCAAAGATGGCTGTAATTTCAACAGTATTCCAAGTGATTCCTAGAAATAAGAGAAGTGGGCTGGATGGGACCTCTAGAGGTCAACCCCCTGGATTCCTGGGTCCCTGGATGGGACCTCTAGACCAACCCCCTGCCTGAGGCAGGATCATCCCTATCCAAACTATCCTATGCAAAGCCATAAGCTAAACTGTTTGTAAGACTACTGTCACCCCTGACACAATACAAGACATAACATCCTAACTTGCCCATTTCATCTGAAAGTCTTTGAGTTACCTCATCACTGTATCCTACTTTCTACCATCAGCAGCATACCTGTAAGGCCAGGAGAAACAGTGTCTGGATACAGTAAGAATTAGGTATCCATAGGAACAAAAAAAGTTTACTTCCTGTAGATCTTATATTCTGTTGACACTCTCCTGAAGTATAGCAGTCATGTCAGATGTCTCTGCTAACCTAAAATTAGTTTGGCATCCTCCACTCCCATTTATTCTTACACTACAGTTTGTCAAGTTGCCAATAGGAGGTAGTGCCACTTCAGGCAGCAGTAAAATGCAATACAATATATTCTTGTACTTAGCCCCCAAAGGGAAATAGAGCACATCCTCTGTCTCCTGTCTCTTTTTATTCCTTTGTTTGGTTCTCACACTGTGGCTATGGACATGCAGCTCTCATTATGTTTTGCCTTTCTGAGTTACATTTCTTGGTTCTCCTATTCCACTTCCTGCTGTGTAACAGGAAAGAGAGGACGTATGCTGCTATCTGTAAAGCACTTTGAAATTTATATGAATGAAAGTCCTTCATACAATCAGTCTACTACTAGTAGTACATTAAGATGAACATGTTTTTACTGATGAATACTTTGAGGAACGTTCTCCAGGCTAATTATCAGCTCCACCACCTGGAAGAAAAGCAGGACTTTGACAAATCACTCTGTCAGTACAGATGAAAGGGTTTGTATCTACAGGAGCCTAATGACGGATGTTAGCACTGGATAAAACCCAGGATGAATCAACCTCATGCCACCT